GCGCGCGGGCGGGCTCGAGTCTGCGGAAGGACAGAGACGGGCAGGAGGGTTAGGCCCGCTCGCAAATTCCATCTTTACTAGGCCGAGAATTGAGAACTCCCGTCCGCCCAAGGCCGCCACAGCAAGGTCGTATCCACTTCGCAGATGAGCAAAGTGTAAGGCTTAGGGGGATGTGTGTGTGTGTGTGTGTGTGTCCAGTGAAGCACTGCTCACGACTGTTTCACTCACAGAGGGGCCAACACCAATGAGCTTGTCACAGCAGCCAGGCTGGGGTCGTCTGACTTCTCCCTCCCTGTCAAATCCCTCCATGTCTAGATGCCTCCCCCAAGGGCTGCTTCTGGGCTGCAAAGTGCCTCTAAAGGCAACAGGGGCCTTGGATTCTTCCGGAGTACCGGGGGTCTTTGCTTTTCTCTGTGTAACTTTTATTAAAGAGTAAGGTCACTTGAGTGCACTCTCGGGATCCCCGGTGCAGCCTGGAATCGCAGCTGTCTGACACTTCCTGGCAGTGTGATAAGCAGTAGACCACGTCACTTTTCTAGCCTGCTTCCTTGCCTGTAACTTGGGGGCATTGCTTAACTCACACAGCTGCTAAAAGATCATGTGGATGAAGTCCCTAGAATACTGCCCAGCACAAAGCATGTGCTTAACAGGCAACTAATAACACGATCATAATACTGAGGTTCCAAAGGAAACCCAAGCCGGGATTCTGCCTTGCCCTTCCCTTTACTCACAGCAAATGGAGGCATTCTTTATAAGCAAGGTTGGCTTTTCTAGAACATACACATTTCATAATTCATTTCTATGGGGATTCTGCCCCAGAGGACCTGGAGAATCTTGGTGCAGTCTCCTTTCAAAGGATCTGGCTGCAGGCCACAAACCCAGGCGCCCTGGATCTGGAGGTGGGGGCTTCATCCTTCCCACCTTCCCTCCTCCATCCCAGGGGCAGTTCCTGGGAGGCTCTGGCAGCCAGGGAGGGGGCAGGGTGGGTAATTACTGCACGAGTCTCTGCTGCTTGCTCACAACAGCTGCTGAGCACAATTTTCACAGCAAATGTGCACACACCACAGGCAACCCCGGCGCACAGTGGTACGTAGAGAGGCCGCCGCAGGACCACTCTTCCTACGCCAGCCACGGGGTTCACTGTGCTCTGGGCACATCGTGGGGTTCAGTTAATACTGAGGCTAAAGGGGAGTGAGGACAGGAGGAAACGAAGAAGGAGACGCAATGACGAGGCAGGCACACCATGACTCCCCTCCCCAGGTCCTGGAGGAAGGAAGCCCCAGTCCCTGAGGTAGGGAGTCCTGCTGGGAAGCTGCGAGATGTCTCTCCAAACAGAAGCCACTGACCCATAAAGACAGAATACAAGGAATAAAGCCGAGAGTAAATAAGAAGAAAGAAAGTTAAGGCACTTTAGTCATTTATCTGTTCAACAACCGTTTAGTGAGCAGCTAGTATGTGCCAGGTGTCATTCTGGGCCTGAGAAATACAGCAGTCATCCAGGCAGATAAGATTCCCTCTTGGATGGAGCTGACGTTCCAGTGGGCAAAGTCAGGTAATAAATAAAACATACTCTGCCTGGTGGGACACATGCAGCCAAGGGAGGGAGCAGAGAGGAGAGTTAGGTTAGGATTTTCTGGGAGGGCCTCTCTGATGAGTGACTTTTGAGAGACCTGAAGGAGGTGAGGGAGTGAGCTGTGAGGGTATCTGGGGGAAGAGCATTCCAGGCTGGGATAACTGCAAGTGCAAAGGCCCTGAGGTGAGAATCTGCTGGGGGGGGGGCTGGAATGGTGGGAGTTGAGTCAGGAATGGAAGGAAATGAGAGCAGAGGTGGAGCAGTGGGGGGGGTAGGGGGTTGGGAGGAGATCCTATGGTTGTGGTTTGTTTTTTCTTTAACCATTTTACTCTGAATGAGATGGGACATGATCGGAGGTTTAGAACAAAGAAGTAGGAATGCTCAGGTTGCTGTTTGGAGAGGGGACTGTTGGGCGAGGCAGGTAGGCAAGGAATCCGGGGGCTAGGACAGGACTGCTGGACTGTTACAGCAGAGATGATGGTGGCTCAGATCGGGAGTGGGGTGGGTATGAGTAAAGGCGATGAGATGGGGCCAGGTTCTGGATATGTTTTGAGGGTAGATTTGGAGGTTTTAGCTTCTAATGAGAGAAGTAAGAAGCATTCAACACACAGTCGGCCCTCTGTGTTTTGGGGTCTGTGTCAGCGGATTCAACCAACCATGGATATTCAGAGAAAAAAAGACTCTAGAAAGTTCCAAAAATCAAAACTTGAATTTGCGGTGACCCAGCAACTACTTACATAGCATTTACATTGTATTAGGCATTATAGGTAATCGAGAGATGATTTAAAGTATAAGGGAAGATGTATGTAGATTATATGCAGGTACTACAGCATTGTATACAAAGGACTTGAACATCCATGGGATGTTCCGTCCACTCTTAGGATTCCCCCGTGCAGCCTGGAATCGCAGCTCTGACACTTCCTGGCAGCGAGATAACCAGCAGACCATGTCACTTTTCTAGCCTGCTTCCTTGCCTGTAACTTGGGGACGTTGCTTAACTCACACAGCTGCTAAGAGATCATGTCCTGCCCTTGTGGAGATCTGAGTCTCTCCAAGGAGGAGAAGACACACAGATGGATAGACAGTCACAGCAGGGGCCAACAGTAACAGAGACCACATTAGGCATCAGTACCAGGAAGGCTATTAGGCCAGGAGGAGACCCCAGACTCAGCCGGGGGCTGAGGGGCAGGGGGTGATGCCCACAGGGCCAGATCTTCAGGGAGCAGAGGGAGTATTCCAGGCTGAGGCCGAGGGAACACCAGGGGCAGAGGTGGAGGAAGCTGGACTCGGGGAGGGTAAGTACTATGGCAGGTGAGGCACAGGGCACCTGAGGTTGGGGAGACACTGTTTTGCAGTGGGGATTGGGAGGGTGCCGTTGAAGTCACAGGGACCAGACGGCAAGGCCCTGAATGCCAGTCCAAGAGGCTCAGAGCGCACAGCGTAGGGGAAAGGGAGCCACATGGGGGCTTCCTGCAGAGCAGGCCCCGGAGACAGCGAGGAGGGTGGACACAGAGCCAGGCTGCGGGCCATCCCTGGAACCACTGGGAAAAAAGCAAGGGCCCACTGGAGAGCAATACCAGCAAGACAGAAATCAAACCAGTGGGGGAGATACCACTCAGGAGAGGCCGAGGACTGCGGAGCCTGCATCCTCCATGCACACTGCACTGCGGCCTTGTACCAGCCACCCGACTCGGGGCTGCAGCCTCCTCCTGTGTCCACCCGGCCGGATCCTCTCCAAGGTCCCCACAGCTGGCAACTCTCCGGGAAACATTAAATATGACCACAGATCAAAAGCCCTTCTGAGCACCGAAGACCACAAGCCATCCTTATTTGATTATTTTTATCTCCCCTCCCATCCCTGTTGTTTGTCCAACCTTATCTCTCGATCAGACTTTCCCAGACAAGATTGTCTTGGGAAATCCTAAGCAGATGCTCCTTCAGAGTGGCCTGGCGACGTCACTGAGGGCTAGGGCGGGGAGAAATACTGCTTTGTTACTATAAGGGGAAGTTTCCTGCAAAACCAGCTATATGTTAGGATAAAATGCAGCCAAGTTAGCAGCAAAATTTACATATTTGTTTAATCTTGATTATAGAATCCAGCTTCCTTTAAGGAATGAGGGATAAACACTATTTTTTCCCCCTCTGAGGACAGAGTCCTGATGTGAGATAAAGAAAATCAGAGTGAAAAAGTTTCTAAGGGGATGTGTTAGTTACACAAATTGAAAATGCTTAAAATAAAAGACCAACAAGAAGCCCTGTGCAAACTGTACACCAGCGTCTGCTTTTAGCGCAGCTCAGGGAAAGCGGCTTCTGCACGGAACAGAAAAATGTGGCCACGGCCTCGGAGAACATCTGAGTTCAGAGATGTCAACGGAAAACCTGAACTTTGTCATTTAAATTGCTGCAATAAACACTGGAGCCACATTACAGGAGTTTGTGAAGTAGGAGAAAAATTCTCATATCCCCAACATCACACCTTAACTAACATCACATTTTTTTATTGTTCCTGCCTGGCTCTTACCCTTGGAAGAACCACTGGCTGTGCCCTCACTACTTGCCTTGTGCTGAATCAGTCTTTCTTTCTTTCTTTCTTTCTTTCTTTCTTTCTTTCTTTCTTTCTTTCTTTCTTTCTTTCTTTCTTTCTTTCTTTCTTTCT